TATATGATCGATACAGAAAAAGATCTTAAAATTCATAAGAAAGAGGAAGAATCAACCGTCAGCGATTCGAGGATCGCCGTCTGAGGGAGTATAAGAGAGGGAAGGAATAGGGAAGGAAGAAAAGAGTGTGGAAGTGGGATGGGAGGAAGAGGAACCGATGGAAATACGAAGCGAAGTTCTGCGGCCGTCACGTTGGAGTGACGAGTACTGGCGTTCACCTTCACCCTCTCAAGGTACTCAGTCGAGCAGGCCAGGATCCTTCGAACCCATCCACGAGGTCTCTTGCTAGCGGCAGCAGTAACAGCAGCAGTAGCAGCAGCAGCAGCAGCAGCAGCAGTAAGAGTAGCAATAGCAGCAGTCCAACCACCCACCCACCCCCAAGACTCTCAAGCGTGGAACCACGGAACACCCCCTTTCGCTCTTTACTTCGTTTTACTCTTCCCCAACACCCCCGAACACCCTTCTCTACGGCCGACTAGTAGTCGAGGAATTCGAGTTACTATAAATCTCCCTTGACGGGCGCGAGAGCAGTACGGTGAGACGAGAAGGGCTGAGAGACGAGCACCACCACCATCACCATCACCATCAGCATTCGAAGAGTGAGTGAGAAAGAAAGAGAGAGAAAGAGAAAGCGTAGAACGGTGCGTTTCACCGCACTGTGAATTGTAATAGTTCTGCTCGCCTCAGGTTCTAACGTAGTCGCGGAGTAAAAAGAAAGCGACAACGTTCGCGAGGGTGCTGCTTCGTTTCTCCGCTCACCTCCTCTTTGTCCTAACCTGTCACTCGGTCTTCCTTTACATCGAACTAAAAGCTGCCCGCGCTAAGGATCTTTTTTTTTTGCGATCCACCCTTTCTCTTCATTGTGTTTATTTCGCGTTCGAGCAGGCATTATTTTTTAATACAATATTTTTATTTTTAATCATAGATTTAGAAGATACATTTTTTGATAATAACAACTGTTTAGACTACATAAAATGTAATATAAACTTTTATGAAATATTAAGAAACAAAATACGAGTAAAATTTATGAAAAAATTATTCGAACATGAAGTTCATTTATTTATTTGTGATTTTTACTTTTTTTGTTTTTAAATAAGTGTAAACAAATATAATTCATTCCTGGGAAGAAAGAAAGTTTCGAATAAGCTTTAAAACAGAAGTAAAACGAAATAGTTTCTTTGGCGCACAATGCGAATTGTATGGATAAAGGAAAAAGGGAAGGCAGATATCAATCACGCAAGTAGCGAAGGGCTGAGATTTGGCAGCAGCTTCCAAGGAGAAGAGAAGTACGAGAATTCAACCCACCTTCGAGCCGGAACAACTGCGGCCATTGTATCATTTATTTTTCTAAGAAGCTCCAACTATATCGATCCATGTGTTATCGAAGCTTCAACGCTTTCGTCACCTTATCTTATTCTTTTTTTCTTTGAATACATTCTTAAATGTCAGTAAAAAAAGATGAAAAAAAGAACTTTTTCTTTAATTTAATTCCATAATATTATATTGAAAATAATTTAATAAATATCACCAATGTTAAGAACAATGTATTTGAATTCAATTGTTTATATTAATTTATGTTTTAAAATAGAATAATATAATTTATTTCTAAAAATAATACCATCTAGATTTCTAATTCTATTTCATCTTTTTCTTAAATTTTTTTACCTTAATAGAATTTAGTAACAGAATTTGAACAGACAGCGAACTTCTTGCGAAGGTTCAGTTGACGTCATCTTCAATGAAGAAAGAAACGTGCTTCTACCTTGTCCGATGTCAGTTACATATCCTACAATACTGACCCCATGGGAGCTCGTGGGTTAGATAAAACTCAAGACAATGGGAATAATGGGCGCGAAAAGGAATACAACACAACTGGATCGCGACTGACAGCTGTTTTCTTGTCCTACGAACGATTGCAAAATTTATTTATAATATTGCTATTATTAGCTCAAAATTATAGAATTCCATCGAATTTGTTGCTAAGTTTGCTTAAACTTAAAAAAAAAAAAGATTAATTTTTTACTTAAAAATTCGAAATTGATATCGCAAATAATAAAATAGTATACGCATATATAAAATTTATTTAAGAAAAATGTTTGTAAAGAAAAAATTTAGAAATGTTAATATCCCAAAATGAAATCCGTGAAAGCCACTATAGTGGCGCGTCATGCCTAAGAGGTTATGCATGATTTCATTTTCGAAAGCATGCCATCTGTAACGAAACAATAGCAACAATGTTTTCAGAAATGATGCAATCGGTAATAGAATTGAAGAACATGTATATATTCTGCTTTATCGACTATATGAAATAATATTGTTAACTTATAATGTTGCGAACACGATGGCGCCCATATCGCATCGCAGCCATCATGAATCAAATTGTGTCAAGAAGAAGTGGGGGTTGATCGTGACGAGGGAGGACCTTTCTGGTTAAGCCTACCAAAGGGTGGAGCCCGACACGCGCCAGTAAAGACCACCTGCAGCTTATTACAGTGGCGTAGAAACCAATTATGCATTATAAATATTCCAACAATTTGACAACATTAATTTATTAACATTCATTATATTAAGAATAAATCGTGCATGTGGTAATTAAATAACGAGATTGCGTATTTGATTGCACATAAAAGTTTTATTATATATTATTAACTTCAAATTCCATTTAAATAAAATACAAATACATAATAAAATAATTGAGACAATATTTAGTATATTTTGTTTAAAATTATATAAATAAGTCAGTTTTTTTATTAATTATATAAAGAATTTAAAGGTAAATGTTTAAAAACACATTTTATGAATTTGAAAACTGAACGATTGCAGTGTCATCTTTATCCAAATAGAATAAGATTATTGCGCAAAAGCATCTAACTTACCGACTGATATAAAATAGGTTACATCAGACGATATCATTTACCGGCAGTCGATCATTTCTTAAAATAACTTTTTATTTTAATCAAAGAATATAGAATTATATAAAACATCAGAAGTAAACTTTTCGTGTAAGAAATAAATCTTAGTTAGCACTGAGACCACAAGTGGACGATCGTAGGTAAAATACTGTATTTTTGGATAATATTTTACCGTTCATTGATAGTATTGTACCTTTCTTTGATAATTTTTACCGTTCTTTGATAATATTGTAATTTCATCTCGTTAAGTATCTACTATGATCCCACTGGTGGTCGCGGTGTTAACTAAGATGAGTTTCTTACACGAAAAGTGGACTTCTAAAGTTCTATACAATTCTATATTTTTTATTTTATTCATTTACTATTCTTATCAACAGCTGGTAAGTTATCGACAATATTTCATTAAAAATATTATATGTAATTTTTCCTATTATAAGTAAATATTTAAATAGTCATTTATAATAACACAAAGATAAATAAATATAAGTACTAATATGGTTTAGAAAGATTAAAGTAACACATAGTACTAATACACATTAAAAAAAAATACACCATGATTGTTATATTTTATTTATAGTTAACAAAAAAGAAGAAAAACAAAGAATCGAGATATTTGTTTTTTCTATATAAAACATTGATTAATCCAATAATACAAGAGCTATTAGAATAAAAATTCAATACTAAACATTTGAATTTCTAACGTGAACATACAAAGGGGATGTTTGTGTATATAAGAGAAGGTTGCGAGAGAAGTTAGTTCGCTTTTCGTCCTAGAAGATATCAGGTAAGCAGAAAGTGAATAGGGTATCCTTTAGAAGCTTATTGGTCCCCTCCTTTCATCCCCACTATTCGTAACGTACAGCATCTCTTGAAACCACTAGGGTGCTTTCATCCCCAACGATGGCGACGCCCAACGCTGTTTTCCGTGCGCATTTTCAATCTCCCTTAGACGCAGACTCGACCAGTTGTTAGAATCGTTGCTTCCAGTGTTCATCCGTTGCGTCAGTAGAACTACACGAAGAAGTTTAATCAGCTACGAAAAATCTATAACAAAAATCAAATTACATTTTGATTTTATTTTTAAAATGAAGAAGAGAGGAAAGCGCAGATTAATGGGAAGGACTTTCCATGCAAAACATTGCAATGGCGGCTAATGTTCAGTCCGATAATCTTCTGGCTTCTGAGATAATTTAATACAAAGGGTAAGAATTTTATTTATCTTCTATAATAATTATTATTTGACATGATATTAAAGTATCATTTATTGTTATATAATTTATTTAATTGTAATTTTTAATAATTTTATTTCACCGCTATCTTATTTACATGATTTTTATGATAATTATATTAATTTCTCTTTAATGTTATGATTATTTTAGCAAAGTAGAAAACATGGAATTATCCCAAGTACGAATCAAATCATATCCAAGACATAAACTTACAAATTCCTTAAACAAATAATTTTATATAGTAACCCTCATCTTCTAAAAAAACATGGATTCGCAAGGGAGACTTAGGGTGCGGATCGAAAATTTCAGCGACATATTTTCTCGTGACATTGTTCTCCTGATATTGATACACGTGCGCGCTCGCGCGTACGCTTCATTCTCGTTAGAGTTGGTAAAAGTATAGACGTGTTACTCGTCTGTGTAGTATACACGCACACACACCTAGGTAGAAGAGCGTAGTAGAAAGAAACGGAGAGCAGATAGGATCATACAGTTAGTGGCGAGTCGTTAAAGCCGACACAGCGCGTGTTTTCTGGTTTGTAGTAGTTGGAATATAAGGAGGCGCATATAGGCGTCCACGTTGTCGACAGTGGCTCCGTTATTGGTGAATTTTGGTACTCTTGCGAATACTCGAGCAATCTGGCGGGTACTCCGACGCCGATCGATTTGCACAGTGTTCTTCTACCTCGCTCGCGTACTAGGTGCCATTTCGTAACGCCCGTAAATATATACATCCAATATTTTCCCGAATATTTTCCAAAAGCTTTTCGTTAAAATATTGTTTCCCTGTTTTTTTTTTTTTCATTTGTTCTTTTTCTCTCCTTTTATACTGGAAAACAATTGACGTTTCTTTCTTCGATCAAATTTCAATGATTTTTTTTTTTTTTATACTCTCCACTTTCTTTTTACTCATTTTATCCTTGTGCGTGATCTTCCATGTTTACAACACGCTCTTCTCGAACGTCACGATGATGTTTCTTTTCTAAAGTGAATCCAATGTGTATGTTTTTACTTTTTTAATTTGCAACACGAAGAAAATCGAATTTACTGGTAAGATATTAATTATTTGATTACAAAATTTTTTAAAATAGTTTCTTGTTTTCGTAAGATATGACGTACGATTCAAATTATAATGTTGAGTCGAGATATTTAATTAGAATTCATAGAAATTGATAGAATACGTCGGTAAAAACAAAATTAGAATTAATTAATTCAGTTTTTACATAAGTAAGTCAGGTTATTTCACAATACGATATTTCTAAATCTGTTAGAAAAAAGAAAGATAAAACATATTATACTCATTAAAACGAACGCAATTATCTTTATTTCTTAAGATAATTCATTCTATTTCGTAACCAAAGTATTTGTAACGATTCAATAAATGTATTTCAAGGCCAGATGCTACTATTAATATCTATAACAAAATGATAATACTTCGAAAACATTGCATTCCATTGCAGATAATTTTCTAAATTTAGCATTATTATTTTTAATTATTTTCAATATTTATTTATTTTGTCAATGATAATATACAGATTAATTTATTGTTCAATTTAAAATGATCTCGGTTATCGTATCGAACAAACATTCCAACGAATTTTTAATCAAAAGTTCCGTAACGATTTTCAGAAAGGCTATGTTCTTAGTCATAGCTGTTTGCAGGAGGGAAACCGGCTACGACTTTAATCAAGGACTCAGTCTCAGCCCACGTTCCACATCTAACTTTCCGATCCCTAAACTCACCGTTTAAACGACCCAAGAAAGTCGTAGCTCTTTCTCGAAAAAGCGTTGATAAAATTTCACGACGTTATAAACGATAATATTATTCTTTCCAATTTCTCAAAAGATTAGAATTTAAATTACAAATTTTTTAGTCTCGTCATTTTTTTTTATACACATATTATTAAACATTTTCCTTCCAATTACTATTAAAATTACTACCAAATAAATTTTAATTTTTCAAGAGATTCATAATTTAAATAAAAATATTCTAATCACATTAACAGATAATATTTCCTTCCATTTATATAACTTTATTTCTTATTTTTTGAATTAAAATTATTAGCAAATCAATATTAATATTTTCTAATAGATACAAAATGTAGATAAAAACATTCTAATCACTTAAGGAATAATATTTCCCTTTCATTTACGTAACTTTCTTTCTAATAACTATGTTCTAACGTTCTATTATTTTTGAAAATCATCATTAATTATATTCAATCGCTATAAAGATTGTAATTATATCAAAAAGATGACGACAAGCGGTATGAATTCGTTCATAGAAGATAGGAAATCTAAGTTGCTAGTCTTCCTAGATCCTTTATTTATTTTACTTTAAAGCAAGTTATTAGTTAATGCGCACTGACAGGAGCTATATTATGAATCGATAGGTGAATGGACAAGATGTAGCATGACGCGACAAAGCATTGGATGATCGATGTTGTATCCATGTTGTCTGATAGTCAAGAAGTAAAGCTACCGTAGTTCCTGTAAGAATTAACCAGGAACTACCGATCGTTTTTTATACACTAAAGCGTTTTACATATTTTTTATGCAACATTACAGAGTTTTAATGTTAATTGGTTTAATAAGGTTTGCAAAATAATAATCGTGTATTAATCATTCAATTAAATCGATCATCTTGATCGAAGAAATTTTCAAATATACAGGGTGTTCAATTTTATTTCTTTGTACTTTTATCAATAGAATTAATAAAGAGTGTAAACAACAATTTATTAAGAAATAATATTTTCAAGTTTAATTTATATTTTTTATTTTTTGTTAATCTTTATGTGTGCAATAAACACTCGATTCGCTACTCATTTTGCTAATTGATCAGCTATTCAAATTTGCTTGCCTATTTATATCGCATTTGAACTTGCCTTTAGAGATTCGGTTAATTTTTAGATATATGATATGATTTTTTTTATTTATATTTATTATCGTGTCGTTACTTGTTATTTTATATTAACGTTCGCGTAGTTAAGTCGTTATTATTAGAGAGCACCATTATAATTTTGAAATTCATTTTTAAGACATTTGTTGAGAATAATAAATTCAGGAGTTATTAGCATAGGATAGACTAAAATTTTCTATATTTAGGTTATACTTAAGTAACGCTCACTCTCTTGATCTAAAGAAATAAACAAGGTTTTCTAATGTAGAGAATATTCATATCAGAAACAAAAAGATTATGAAGATAAGTATCATAAATTGAAATAAAAAAATAAATGCGTACAACATTTAATTATCCGTAATAGAAAAAGTTTATTATTTTGTACTAATTCCATAATTCAAAAGTTTCATTTGATCAAATAAATTACGCGAAATAGAATATTGAGAAATATATTTTAACGAGCATAACCGTTCATCTGTGATTTCTCCAACTAAATGAAATATTTCATCGTATATTACATTTAATAATGTAAACCGATAATAAATATTCATGAAAATGAAAGAATTGTTGGGTGGTGCCATAAGTACGAATACTATCATAAAGAATCGTTAGAAAGTTTGAATGTTATTATATGTGTATATCATTCATTCGTTTGAAACGAAATAACGGGCGTTTTCCGTCGCAAAATTTATCTCTTTTCGCTTCTATTCACACGAACTCGCACGCGCTGTAATTTCACAAGTCTTGTATAGCGTTGAATTAATATACCAACTATCATAAACTAACACGTTTCCGCGAGAAGTGACGTCATTTGATGTCATACGTAAATGGATAGGAGAGAGTCAGTCGGTGATGATGAGCCCTTGTTAATCTCTTATGCTCCGCTTAGTTGATATCAACCGATTCCCACAATCGTTTGAACTCCATTTCAAAATATCATCATCAATATCCACACATTTTTATTATCGATTTAAAACTATGAAATTTAATCAATATTTAATCTATCGTAGTTTAACGTAAATATATTTAGTTAGTATATTAAAATTCAGATTATTGTTACAATTTGAATTATATTTGTAGTTTTCTACTTCTTCTGTTTAAACTCGAATATAAATAATTATTGTTTATTTGAAAGTTTATTATAGATTTTTTTACTTTAGAAAAGTTCAACGCATTAATATTTTTATTATAAAAGCTTATACGTGAACGTCAACTAAGAAATCAAATGTAAGATAGTACAATGTTGAACTTTAATAGGTTTGTTAGTCTAATTACGGTTTTTGCCTTTGGTATAAAATCGCAAATTATATAATCAACTTTATTTGAAAAAAAAAAAACCAATAATAATTTTATTTACAGTATTCTATTAAATGTAAAAACAAATTATTACAAAATGTATTCAAGAACACAACTACTCTTTTCACTCATATATTTATATAAGAGAGGATAATTTAAATTTTTTCATTTATTAACTTTTTCCCATTGTCACACGTTTAAAAATATCAATATTAAAACGTAGTCGAAGATGTTCCAACAGAAATAGAAAGCTTTCGTAGATATAAGGTTACAGTCGTGAAGAAAAAAGCATGCCCCCCCATAGCTATTTTGTAACGGCAATAAATCACGAAAACTGACCTGATGCTATACCCTTAACTTTCTTTTTTTCCTATTCTTTTTTTCTTTTCTTTTCTTTTTTTACGGATATTCGACCAGGTAAGTCGGTAAAGTCACAGATATTGCTGTTCGTTCTTTCTTTCTTTCATTCGAGACTTTGGTTTCAGAGATCGACGTGGGTGATATTTTCAAATTCTTTAACTTGCTTGAGAACAAATTTTTTCTATTCATAACAATAATAAAATATCCTTAAGTCGTATAAATTTCAGACGAATATTCCAAATTGAGATGCACACTTCTAGTAATATTTTTAATGTTTTATTTTACAAACTAAGTTAATTAAACAACTGCAATGTGGATTAATATAAAAACAAACAAATTTATACATGAGAACAATTTACGCTTAGTTGCTGAGTCGTTGTTTGGATTTCATTTTAGGAGCGAATAAAATGGTCCACCGAATTGTGAAGAGGAACAAGAACGAAAGAGAGAGAGAGAGAGAGGGAGAGAGAGAATGAAAATGGGGGAGCAAGAAGGGAGAAGAAGATGGACAGAAAGAAGCCAAGAAACGAAAAGCAACGGACGAACGAGAGATGAACAGATACAGGATGAAAAGAGAAGGACGAAGAAAGATACCGGCTGGCAAGCAGATGGTAGCCTCGTTTATTGGTTTACTCGTCGGCTCGCTGCCCCTACGGCCATGAAACGAGACTTTAGAACGAATGTCGTTTCTCTTTGTAGCAGAGAGAACGACCCGACGACCTTCGATTCAATGGAAATCAATGTAAATGATATTTTCCAATTACATTTTTTTCTTTTGTCTATTTTTTTTCTAACATGTTTTTATTATTTTTTGTATCGAACGTTTAGCATCTTTTTTATCATTTCATATTATGTATTTGACACTGAGTATATATATATATATCTGAAATCGTTTATATAATCATCTAATCATTATGTATTATAGGAAGTATATATTGAATTTCATGTAAAATTAATGTAAGTATTTTTTGGTCTTTCTAGAAAACAGGTATGACAAGAATGTATTCGGTAACTGGATGAAGCAAGAAACCTTCAATGTAGAGTGCATCTTCTTACCATCAATGCATTCATTGGGCGTTCATTCAAGAAGTACGTAAGTCATGTTGCGGGATGCATTATATCCGTTAGATGTACACTGCTCAAAGTTGACGATCATCATCATCTTGCTTCGTAATACATTCGATATTTTAATATTATTCATAAAAATGAATCATTGATAATATTATTACTTCTATATGCTACTTACAAATGAAAAACAATAACTATTTAATATAATTTTCTTACGATCATATTTAACTTCGTAAAGGAATAAATCATCTCTCCTAAGATAATATATTGAATTTCTAACAACTAAGAACTTTTGAGTTATGTAATAACTAATAAGGAGTCTAAAGTAGCCGATAGAAACTCGAAGGTAATTAATATTATACATTTTTGATCATAATCTATCTCCAGGGCGCAATTTCTACTAGCTTTACCAAACTCTATATAAACTGGCTCCCAGTTTCATGCTCGAATAGTAGAAAAGTTTGAGCGTGAGCCGTGAAACGATCCTAATACGTAAAATTATGTGTGCAGGGGACGAAGAAGAGACGAGGAGAAGGAGGATGATAGTGGTGGAATATAGTAGCTGACATTAACTGAGGGTATATGTGTATATCTATGTGCAAGAGAAAGAGGGAGATAGAAGTATACGCACAGATATATAGACGCAGCCATCAAATAATGGCGTCGTGGGGGCGGATAGCAGTTGCCGGGTCGATAGGAGGAAGGCCCTTGACCTGCAAAACTCCGACTGCCTTCCCACCATCGGCGTTGCTTTAACGACAACCCTCGCTCATTGGCTCTTGTAGACTTCTCCCTAGGGAAAGAATCGTGATTCACCTGGTTTTTTGGTAAGTATAACCGATAACTAAGGGTTATGTGAGGGTTTCATGTTTAATTCATCAGCAAATAATTTCTGATTATTTGGAAACAAAGATTCACTGATGTTGATCGTAAATGTCTTGAGAAACCATCGAAAAGTTGATTGGATTTTTACTAGGAGTCCGTTAAATTCTTGAAGTGGAACCAATCAGATGTCGGTAGTATCGACAAATCGTATAGAAACGCGCGAATTTCAAAGTTAATTAAAAAAACAAGTATATATTTATACAAGTTTTATTTTAAGAAGATTGAGTAAACGACAAATTGTAGAAATACAAAATGTTTAATAGATTATATATAATTAGTATCTATTTCCGACTGTTAGTTTTAAAGAATTTGTATGTTTAGAAGTGTAATATTGACATCTGTTCAAAACCAACCAGTTGAAGCCCAAGGGACCTTAAGTCGCATTAATCCTCATAAATACTCGAGGGCGGTTCCAAATAGATTAACGTTGTAGCTTCAGAGGTAGTTTGGTTTCTCAAGAAAGATTATCTCTGTAGAACCTAACAAAAGCGTTTAAAGAAAATATTGTGACAAGAAAAACCTTGCCGATAGATCTTTTGAAAGTAATACTCTATTGTATACTCTCTTAAAGGATTATATCAACCAATTAAGATATTCAACTGATTAGATATTCCAATGACTTGCGTATTCTGATTATTCTTATTTAAGATTCACAATCGATTTCTCAGAATGATCTTAAAGTACCTCTCAATAGGAACAAGTTTTTTTCTCGCCGATAAGAATTGACAAGAAAGTTTCATTTGCGATATCAATACATTTATCTATCTATTGCGATGATACTGACTATATATTAATTTCAGGTGAACGAACGGAAGACAAGATATGACCAAGTGACCTGGAAGTGCAAGGTGCGTTACAGCACGGTATATAAAACGAGCCGTTGAGAAGAAAGAGAAAAGAAAAGAACATGATGGAGAAGCCGACCTTGCTAAGATCAGCTGTGTCATCCTTGGGCCGTTAACGCTCAGGTGGTTTCGATCTCAGGGCCGAGCATCAATCATCATTGGTAGTGCAAGGCGTGATGTGATTATTGTCACTAAGATACTCTACTACGATATAACAATCACGAAAGTGTGCCACGTGACATAACAGAGTTTATCTTTAACGGTGAATCTTAAGCATCTAATAAAACAGACCTAATATTCTAGCCTGCTATTATGTTTTATTCATTGTGGTTGGTCAGTACACGTGAGTTTCTTTTAACTATTAAACGTTACAAAAAAATTATGAAATTAGCATCTATACAATTTAGATTTTCCTTTATGTTACTTATATTACTTTTATTAATATTTTCTTATACTTCCTTTAATAATTGTTTTTCAGTTATATAACAATATTGATATTAACTTTTTTTTTTAGGTGCAGTCTGTGCTGTTTAGAAAAAGTAAATAAATGCATTTATTAAGTTGACTGAAGAAAAGCATAAAATGGGTTAATTTTCATGTATCTTGATACGAAATTTCCTGGAATTTTAATATATAGAATAATCACAAAATGATTAAGGACATAAGAAGAAAAAATTAAACTTGTGACTTTAATACAAATTCAAAATACTCTATTTTATATTTAAAAACATTTCATACTATAAATTAGTATAATTTCAATTTTGGTCAATAACGTAGATATTAAAAAATAAAAGGATAAAACAAAGATAGTGCAAAAGTGCTTACGTGTACAAAGGCCGATTAAGCGGCCATTATAAGGCAATTAAGTTATCTCAAACAGTACAATAAGTTTTACAGTATATTAACAGTAAAGATATTCTCGAAGATATTAGAATCTGATTTCAGCATCGAGTTTAATAACAGCGAGCTCCCTCCCTGCATCGTAGCAGAATGACTCGACGAAGCGAGTCTGTTTTCGAATGACTTGGCATTACCAAGAGAAGAAGATCTGGGCTAGTGAGATCGCCAATTTCAGCTGCTGCCAATATCGTCCTCTGCTGAGAATCGATATTGAGATATATAGTAAATATTAAATGTAATGTCATTGTAATCGATGCAATAAGAAATAATTAACTTAGCAAATATTTAACATTTTTCGTTAAAATCGTAAGTATTTATCAGAGTATGGTAGCTAATGCAAAAATCAATCAAATTCTATAATACTAATATTATTATCTAAAATACGAGCTTTCTTCATGAATTCAGGGAGTAGGGGAAATTATGCAATTTATAGTGTATTATATAACAAAATATTCTACATTTTTTCTTGGTATTAATGTAATGTTTTTTTAGGTGAAAGTAAGAATGACTGCTGATCGAACACTGGGCCAGCATAGAAGTCAAAAATTGGCACGTATAACATATACATGCGTATTAGCGCATGTTATAAAATGTGCAAGTAAACAATGACATGCGAAGTGAACAGACGACAATTTAAAAATATTTTTTTCTTTTGTTTAAATTAAAAAAAGGATTAATCAGGTGTGCCGTTAAACAAAGGCCCAGTTAATGCTCTACATCTACCCTGTAGATCCGAATTTGTTTGATAAGAGGCGACAAATTCGGTTCTAGAGAGGTTTGTGTGGTGCATACAGTGCTACGGTGGTCTCTATTTTACGAAATTTAAAAAGAATATATTTTTTTTCATTTTTTTATTTTAATGTAATAATTTTCTTGAGTTAAGATCGATGTTCTAATCAACTACGACATTATTACGATGAAGTACTACGATTTAACTAGTACGACGAAATTTGTATTTATAAATATAATAATCGTACATCATTTTCAATGTTAATATGCAAAAATATGCAATTTATATACAACGATTAGATATATGCGAAAAATTGATTGTCTGTCTGTAAAGACAAAGATAATCACAAAGATTTTATCTACAAAGAATTATTCTCATTTACCGACTTGTCAGAACGATGTTGCATTTATTAACTATGTAAGATAAGATCATTAAAAAAAAAGTAGATACACGTATAGTATCAAGATGAATTAGAAAATGATTAGAAAAAGATGTATAAATTATAAAGAAAAAAAAAAAATAATAATGAAAAACGAACATATACACCCACATATACAAATGATCATATAGAGAAAAGAATAAGAAAAAGAAATGTTTTCACACGACTACATTGACAATTAAAAAGAATCGAGCAATGAGAATTTGCATATGGAATAAGTAACATCGTATGTTCTGAGATTTAAGATCCTTGTAAAATAACTTATTTCATGATTTATTCCCATTTATTTCGAGGCATTTCCAGTATGTGAAAGCTTCCAATAGTTAGGAGAAATGTCCCGAAGGTATAAAGGAATATGAATTATCGTCATTAATTTCGTGGTCTTGGTGCACCCATCTCAGGATGCTGTCGATGTTGAACTATGTTATGACTAGCGACCCGTTGCATATCCACGCTTAGATGCATAGCATTAGCTCGCACATTCCTATTCGTTATTTCTACAGGACGATTCAAATTTCAATTATTCCTCTCAAATATTTCTTATACAAATATGAATTATTGCTTTTAATGATATTTTTCCATTATCAAATTAAGAAATTAAATTATATATTTATGTAAATATAATTATAGGAATCGCGTAGAATATTTTATTTAACATAACTGGTATCCTTTTAATGTTGCATTAAACTACTAATCGTTTTATTGATTCTAATCTTATTCATCGAAAGATTGATTTTTAATCTTTGTAATGGCGAACGTTTATATTATAATTTTTTTTGTACCTATTGATAAAAGATAAGCGGAAGGATTTAGATATAGATAATTTGTTGTAATTGTATAAAAAAAAGTGAGAGAGAACATTCAAACAGGATAACACAGTAGATGGGTATAATTAAGAAATTTTACATCAATGATTGGAAAGGTACAGGATCTAAGCAACCACGACTTCATCTTCTTCTTCTTCTTCTTTTTCTACTTCTTCTTCTTCTTCTTCTTTTTCTTCTTCTTCCTCTTCCGTTACGTATGTATATCTTCGTTTTCTAGATACAAGCACGTGAATTCTTGAATCCTTCTGTAACGGTGAAGGTACGTCCATTAATCTTTGATCGTACTCATATTAAAGTGACATGCGGTGGTTATGCAACGCCTAGTACCTAAGTGCTAATGAAGTGCATACACAGGCATAATTACCGTATGAGTGGACTGCCCACTTTTCACGCGGCGTATAATCTATCGGATAACAAAAAAAAAATTGAAAAGAAAAAAGAAGGAAAAACGATTTCACAATGATTTGCGAAAAAAAAAAGTAGAAAAGAAAAGGAATCTTTACGGCGCGTTCACTTATAAACAGATCGAAAGTTGAAGACAAATTTCAAGCAATATCTGTATTCATCCGAGTTGCATATTTTCAAATAGTAAATAAGATATTAGACGTATGTTTTCATATATGGGTGGATTGAAAAGTTTTAAATTTTATATAGAAACAATTTTATTTTCAATCAAATTCACTTTTATTTATAAGAAAAATATTAAAGTTGTTTTCTTGTTATTAAGGCTCGAAACTTTTAAACTCAACTTTGTATATTTACATGCATTTATTTAGATATTTATGTATATGAAACTTATCGCACGCGTTTGTAGATACAATTTCCAACTAAACATTCATATTTATGAAGTTCTTGTCTTCAACGTTTCTCTAGGAAGTTTTGAGCATTGGAGGAATTCATTAGTACTCAGGTATATACTTTTGAAAACGAGTTAATAATTCAAAGATACGTAGACAAGCAGGAAGACCAAAGATAAGCATAAAATATCTAATCAAGAACGAATTGTTTTTAAAACAATACCTTATCAAACAAAAATGATAAAAAATAAAATTGAAAAGTAAATATTTATTTTTACGTTCGAGAAATTTGAGCTGGTTAAAAAAATGTTAACAAAATTCTTATTACAAGCATATTAAAAGATATTTTATTATTCGAATAATGAGAACTAACAAGACGATATATAATTCAAAGAATTGATCCCCACGCTGTCTAAAGTCACTCGTCTTATTTACAAACGTCGAAGGCCTCTCGTAATCTTGATGGGAATATAGTAAGCAAAAGTGGATACTTTATGTAGGTATATAGGTAAGTATACGTACGTACAACATGCTGTCAGATAAAAAAATAATCGGTTATAAGAAGTTAAATAAGCAAACGGCAGTGAAGTTAACGAGCAGTCGAGTCAGCTAGCGTTTCGAATTGCGAAATGTACGTATCTCGCGAGTTCTCTCATCTTATGAATTCTCTCTTTTCTCTCTCTCTCTCTCTCTCTCTCTCTCTCTTTCATTTTCTTTACTCGAAGAAATGAAATAAGTATCGTTCGGTGAATCTAATCTCTCAGGACGTTTCACCGGACGTGAACGTCGACGAACTCGACATTCTGGTTGCTGAGAAGCCTCACCCTCACCAAATCAACGACGACAAGAACGACAAAACAACAACAACAACGACGTTGATGACGACGACAACGACAACGACGACGACGACGACGACGAAGAGGATGCTGCTGCTGCAGCTAAAGTTGAAGTTGTTGTTGGTCAAATGAGCAAACGGATACGCTTGGACGCGTTTACGCGCGTTCAGAGATCCTCGCTCGGCAAAGAGTCTCCAGTCTAAATCCACATTCGAGTGCGCGAGAAAACATAGGAAGATTAATGATTTGTATGACATGAGCTTGATAAAAGAAAGAAAGAGAGAGAGAATAAGAGGGGTAACAGGAGCGTGTTCTAAGTGGTGAGGTATAGTGGGAGGGAAAGGAAGGTAAAGTGAGGGGAAACTGTTCGCACGTTTTATTTCACAAAAAAAAAAACCACGGGGAATGGCTTCTCCTTATTTCTTTCGTTTCTTTTTGCATCAATGATAGGACCGCTTTTTCTACGACTTTTCTAAGTCTACTCTTGAAATCACCTACCTCAACGACGAGAGAACTCGATCGATCGAGCTAACTTTAAAAAAGTCTTGCATTCGTAGGAGAACAAAAATGAATAAAAAAAAAAAAATACTTTTTGAATTTTTCCAATGGTCTTAGTTATTGATTTTTGCTTTTTTTTGTTTTGTTTTAATTTGCCTCTTTTTTAGAGAGACAGAGAGAGTGAGAGAGAAATTATAAAGAGAAGTGCTTGAGAAACTGGATCAAACTTTGCGATGTGGATGGATGGATTGAGAACTCGTGTTTGGAATATCGTTAAAGTTATAATGTGCTTACGATAGAGGTTCATTTATTGTGCCTTTGTTAAGTACGTCGATCTTCCAATAATCGTTATTGATCTAATTTAATTACTTTTGTTCAATAATACAAAATTTAAAATACTATTTATAATTACTTTCAATTTCTTTTTTATTTATCAAGAATTAAAAATAAGGTTTGTTTGGGTATTTAAAACGATTTATAATTTTGTTTCTTTTTTTTTTTCCTTATTGTAAGATTAATAACAAATATTCCAGAAAATAGAAAAGATATAATTTTGAAATGATTTTCTAATCCTGAGCGACGCCAAGAGAACGGAAATCCATTTTTGCATAGAGCCAGTGC